ATCGTTTGGTCATGTGGCAACCACCACATAGTAGATAGTTTTAGGATATAGAATCAGAAAGAAGTTTTGTTTGGCATGGGGATTTCGGTTTGCTTGCTTGGTTTTTTCAGACAGAGAAACTTGAGCATTTTCCGATGATAAGAGTAAAGACTCAGTGAGTAAAGAGAAGTTGAAGATACATCAGAGGAGGCAGAACAAGATGGCATCCAGATCCCTGATCTTAGGCATTTTCTTACAGAAAGCAATTATATTAACTATATTAATTATATTAACTAATTAACAGAGAGAAGGATTTCTATTTATCTTCACACACGTCAGCAAAACTTAAGACTGCAGTGATTCTGTGATGTCATAATGTATAACTGTAAAAGGTAGACTCCAAATCTTTAGCGTTAAATAATGAGAAAAATGCAATAGGCACTTACTAAAAATTAAAATTAAAAATGGGATTGCCCCATATTCCATTCGTTAACGGTCCTATTCTTTGCTTTTACCTTCTATATAGGTAAGTTTTGAGATTTTTTTTGCACCTGTCTCTTTTTTCTCGTTTCTTAATTACTAGAATTGCAGTATTTGCCCTTAAAACTATAGACCCTCCTAAAGTCTGATGAGTGAAATATTCTTTTTCTTGTAGCTGCAAAAGAGCAGACTGCATTCTACATCATAAACTCTCTTTACAGCTATTATTTTTAAGAAGGTTGATTTGTAAGACACCCAGACTTTAGAGATTAGTGCCATGTCCTGCAAAAGTAACCTTTTACCTCCTAAAGTTCTAAAAGCCTGATTCATTATACTAAATCTTGTGTTGCTTTGGTAATAACATTTAAATTGACATTCTGTTTCCTGTAAAATATACTTTTTTTTTCTTAAACCAAAATGGACTTATGGGTACTTCCCTTCTCCTTCTATACCGTGAAAGTAATAAAACCATTTTTTCTGAATTTTTTAACAATAGCACTCTATTTTTAAATACAGTCTTACATAGAACCAAATAAATTTAATAAATTTTAGAAAAGGACTTATTTCTTACACAATTATCCTTTTCATATTTTATGGAAAATTGTAACCCTTTAAAGTACCTCTTTGGAGTCCTTAAGGAGAACAGTTTTAAAAAAAATTGTTGTAACCTATTTCTATATTTTACATGTTGGCCTAATTTTAGTATGTTACTTTTATAATTTTATCATTTGTTTTATCAGTATTGCTGTTCGCAGTACTGTTGGAAACTGAGACATTTTGAAACTTAATTCCTTCTCTCAGAAAGCTTACCCTAGTCCATTCCAGCAGCTAAAGCACTCCCTACTCTGTGCTGTATTCTGAGCACCATCTTGTGCTTATCACATTGAATTATAGCATTTGTTCACCTGTCTTCCTTTATAAACTGTGGATGATTCTACCCCTAGAACCCAGCACAATAACAGGAAAATGACCTCCATTCACTGAGTGTTTGTCAGACACTGAGCCAAGCATGGTACATACATAGACTCTCATCTTCAACCTTCTACTGCTGAACAAGGAGAGGCAAAGAGAGGTTTTTAAGTGGTAAATACATGGTAGAGCAAGGAATCACACTTATTTCACTCTTGAGTTCACATGGAGTCTGCCTACTTCTGTTTGTCTATAACACAGATGTAGACATTCTTCATCTGCAGTTTAACAATATCAAGTATAAATCCTGTTGAAGAATTGTGCCAGAGTTAATATTTAATAGTAGTTAATATCCCAGACTCTGAAGCCAGACTTCCTGAATTCAAACTGTGGGCAGTTTACTTAACCTCTCTGTTCTTTAGTTTCACCATCTTTAAAATGGGGATAATAGTGGGACCTACCACATGGAGTAGTAGTAAGGATTAAATAAGTAAATGCAGCAAAGGACTTAGAGGTCCTGGCACATTGTAAACATGAAATAAATACTAACTGTTATTATTTGTTTTGTTTACATTGCACTATTCCTTATATATTTGTTCAGTAGTTCTCTCTCTATATATTTTAAATCACATTTGCTTATTTGTATAGTTAAGCCTGCCTTCCTAACTCTACTTGATTAGCAGATAGATCTATTTACTGTATTAACGCATTTCATGTTATAGTCTGACTAGATGTTTTTGTGTCTACAAGCTGCAAGAGATATTTATTTAATTATTTAATCCATTTATTGAGATCCTGCTATATTGGAGCATCTATGCTAGGCACAGGGGATATGGTCATGAGCAAAACAGGTGGAAACTCTGCTCTCCAGCTGCTCAGAGCAGTGATCTCAAACATATTTTTAAATTTCACATCTCTGTCAATAAACATTCTTGAGCATGCACCCCCAAAATGAATACTTAATTATTTGTAAGTGATATATGTGTCTTTCTACTAGTCTATTGTATAGATTTTTAAATAAACTGAAAAATTGAAAGTAAAAAGGTAAAGATAAATAGAAATTAAAATTCTAATATTCTCTTTCCCTTGGGGTGTGTTCACCCCTCTTTGGAGTCCACTTAAAATAAAGACAGACACTCAGAGAAACAAAAAAGAGTAAGCATGTGAAGGAATAGTTCTCTGTGTCAGGAGCCTAACTTCATCTGGGAGGCCAGTGAAGACTTTCCTAAGGAAGCAACATTTAAGATAGGATCTGAAAGGATGAGTTTGGGATTCCCTAGGCAAAAAGATTAGGGGTGAAGTGTAACACAAATAGTGTTTATAGACAAAAGCATGATGTGTTCAAGAAACTAGAAAGACTGTCATTGTGAATGGAGAGGCAGTGTCCTAGGAGTGTTAGAGAGGTTGTCAGAATGGACCAGGTGGTACAAGGCTTATTATATACTATGTTAAGCATTTAGATCTTAATTCTAAGAGTCATGGGAAATTCTGGAGGAATTTAAGGAGAAGTAACATGATCAGATAATCACCTTTCTAGTTCTATTTGGATGATATTTTTCTCCCTTACTGGTTGCTGCTAAAAACAGGTCCAAAATAGTATACCTCAACAAAGGATTTGAGGGACAAGTCTTATGTAGCAAATTATTGCTTAATACACTAAAAGTAATCTAATAATCATGTTGTGAGATTTTGTAACAGAAAAGGGGTAGTATATTCTGAAAAGAAAAAGTAAGACGAGGGCAAATACAATTTTAAATGTTTCTCTTATTTTCAAGCAATCTGAAATACAAAACCCAGGAAACAAGTCGATACCACCTACACTTATACTGTCTACTGTCTTCAGCTTACAATGGTTAGCACTTTCGTGTGAGCTTCTCACTCTGGCTCTTTTAACTTTGTAATCGAAGAAAAATCCAAATTATAATTCCAATTATGATAAAAACAACAATCATGATAGCAAAAAAAAACAACTCACATGGTGGCACAGTTGTGAGCACCTTACGTGTGTTACCTAATTTCATCCTCACAGTGACTTTACAAAATTGGTACTATTAATATCCCTTTTTTATAAACAGGGAGCTAGTAGGTGATAGAGACAGACTGGAAGCTACACTCTTATCTACTGTGCTCTGCTTTCTCTCTTAAGCTACTCCATTAGGTGGTGATAGATGGTATAAAATAAGAACCAGGGGCTTCCCTGGTGGCGCAGTGGTTGAGAGTCCGCCTGCCAGTGCGGGGGACACGGGTTTGTGCCCCGGTCCGGGAGGATCCCGCATGCCGCGGAGCGGCTGGGCCTGTGGGCCATGGCCGCTGGGCTTGCGCGTCCGGAGCCTGTGCTTCGCAGCGGGAGAGACCACAAACAGTGAGAGGCCCGCGTGCCGCAAAAAAAAAAAAAAAGAACCAAAATCACTATCTCATGGGAAAGAATTGCTTGCCTCTCTGGATTAAAAAATAATAATAATAAAAGTTTAAAAACCTTTTAATATGAGGAGCAGGAAGTTAATATTAAATGGCTTTTTTTCTTTTTCTGGCTACACAGTTTATCATTTCAATATACTGTGATACATAAGATGTCCATATCGATTATATGATATCTCTTATATATAAATGTGTAAGATCTGAGAATTACACAAAAACTAATAAAAAATATAATTTCTGTTTCCTGGAACCTATACCTTTTCAAATGACTATTATTTCAAAGCAGTTTTCTGAGCAGGAAAGTGGTAAATGAAACTGCTCTTCTAACAAAATAGCATGACAATGTAGGCAGGAGTGAAGGGACAAACATCAGCTTTAATTAGGAAGTAGCTGTAATAATTAGGACATGAGGTAATAGCAAGTGTAATTAAAGTGGCCATCTAGAAGTGGAGCTGAAGTTGTATATTTGAGGTATATTTCAATGGAAGAATTGGTAGAGCTTCGTGTCTGACTAAGCATAGGGATTAATATTTATACTGCCAAGAGTAAATGAGCTTTTATTCATTGTTTTTGATACTTGGAGGTGGTAAATTTTTTATTCTCTTGATTTTTACATTATATTTAAATACAACCAAAATTGTGAGATGTGATATTCCAGCATTGCATTATTTAAATTTAAAACCATCTCATATTTTGTTTATGCTGTAATGAAAATCTGCAGGGCATAAATGAGATCAAGTCAGACCCTACTCAGCAGCATATGATGCTTTTCCAATGGCTGGCATTGAAGTTCTGTTTGCATGGCTGTTGGATGTCACCACTATTAGCAGGTGTTGCCATGAAATGTGCACTGTAATGTTGAGCCAGTAAAGTGAAAATGTGCTTTGCAGCACAATGGAACCTTTCGAAATACCTATAGTTCCCTTTAAAAATGAGACTTTTTTAATACTAAGTTTACAACTTCTTTCTCATAGTATTGTCTTCATAATATTGTCTTCCACTGTTGTATGTTGAAGGAATTCTCAAAAGCAGATCCCGAATATTTTTGTAATATGTAAACTAAAAGTGTTCACAAAAATATTACTACATTATTATCACATGTGGAGCTTGTGCCATATGCACAGAAGGTATTTAAAAATATTTCATGACTGAATTTAAAATCATCTATAATTTAAATTGGAAAAACTAAAGAGTGATTTAATTTTGTTTTGCAGTGATCGGCATGTTGGTAAAATTTATTCCAAATCCTCTTCCTTTCTGGATTATGTCAGAAAGTCTCTAAAGAAGCTTGGATTAGATGAGTCCAAGGTCAGTATATGATTACCCATTGTTTTTATAAGAAACAAGAGAACTTCTATGGGGTTATGAATTGAGATAATACAAAATTATTTGCCCTCTACTTTTCTCTTATTCATGAAAAACATCTAAATTATGTTGAAACCAAACTTCAGTTACCTTTATTCCAGTTCACCTTTTCTGTCAATATTATACGGACAGTTTGCTGTTGTACACCTCCAGAGTGATTCCCCTTTCAGGTTTATTCAAGTAAAACTGTGTCAATTTTCAAATCAAAATAGACTTAAAAAGCAAGAGCAAATGGGAATTGTAAGTACATCAGGAGACAATGGTTTTAATTTTAAACTGCATGTATTTAAAGGCTGTATAACCCATTAAAATTAAAAATCTTAAATTCAAAAACCCTTTGAATGGGAGAATCCTGGAAAGTGGTAATGTCATAGAAAGCCCAGGGTAATAATTGAGAACATATTGTTGAATACACAAAAGGTAAGCTGATGGACTAGTGGTAATAAGTAGTCTAACACTGAGAAAAAAATAACTCTCAACATGATTCAGATGAGTTATTAACTAAAATATTAAGTTGAATCTGGATCACTTTGGTATTTTGAATTGATTATAAATTGAAATAAAGAATAAAATAGTTGGTTAAGGAATGGTGATTAAGGTGGTTAAGGTTTCTTCTTGAAAGAGAAAAATTATACAGATATGGTTAAGTTATATCAAAGCCAGAGGGTATTATTATTTATTGTACCAATTATCCATTTACTCCCCAGTTGCTTTATTACTTAAAGCAATTAGACTGGTACGAATAAGTTTCCTCCTCTGTAAAATAGCTCTGAAAAAGCATTTCTAATTCATAGGATTTAAGAAAAATTAAATGAGGTAATAGACATAAAATGCTGAGTACAATGTACATAGTAAGTGCTAACTAAATAATACTAGTTTTTATGATTCTTATCTTTGTATATGTACTACTTATAATAATACAATTGATATGACTCCTATAAACATTTTTATTTAGTCACCAAAATGAAGATCCTTCTAGTCTTGCATAAATAAGAATAGACAGTGTTATCTTAGTTATTTTATTTCTGTTTTTTAAAATATTTTTAATCAGACTGGTCTTCCTTCCAATTAGTCTTTCTTAATGCATATATTTACGTCATGTCTCAATTCCGCCATCTTACATTTACTATCAGGAACACAACCTAAGCATAATTTTTACAAATATAGAGCTAAGTTTTTACTTAAACTAAAAATGTATTATCCTTTGTCAAAAACCAAACTGTAAAAATCCAGAAAGAGTGTTACTTATTTTTCGTGATGGCTTTCTCTTCCCAGGTTTGTCTCTAATAATAACCATAGTAAATGTTTCTTAATATGCTTATTATATTACTGATTAGAATATTAATAATAGCTAATATTTACTAAGCACTTACTATATTATAGTTATTATGCTAAAGACATCATAACATTATCGCATTTACTCTTCACTAAAAGAGTAAGATACTATTATTATTCCCAATGTAATGATCTAGAAAGAGAGGCTTACAAAAAGGCAAGTCATTTTCTCAGCGTTGAAGAGCAAGTGGCAGAGCTGGAACTTGAACGCAGATTCAACTTACATCAGAACCTCCACTGTCAACCACCACTGTACTGAGAAGTGAAATTAAAAACAAAAGGAAAAAGACTAATGTAGCTAAGTATCACCATAAAATATCAGTCTTAAATGATTACCTTTATTAGTTAGTAAAGACAATTAATAGTGCCCTGCTGATTTTTCTCTTAAAACTATTTAAGTTCATTGAAAGATAAATATGTTGAATAAAATGGGTGAGGAAAAGAAAAGGAACAAGAAACCCAAGCTGGAAGGGGAGGAAAGTACAGAACCTAATAAGGCATTTCAAAGGTAGGGGGGTGAGAGGAAGCAAATAGATGAGTACGTGTTTTGAGGGGTTTTTTGTTTGTTTTTATGTTAAACAAGAGGAATTGAGAGTTGTGTCTGTCAGGCCAGAGTGGTTGGAAATAGGATAAGTTATTAAAACCAAGCTTACATTTCTGATATAATACAAAACCCTATTATTTTTCTCCCACATTATGAAATATCAGTGCTAAAATGAAGGTTTTGACCACAAACACAATAAGAAGAGATTTATGAATAGTTTTATTTAAAAAATGAAATTAATTTTCACAAGATTCTAATTACTAAAAAGTATCAAAACCGCTTAAATTTAAAATATTTGATATACCAAAGTGTTTAAAAGATCTTTGACTAAATTTATAATCATTTACTAACAAACTTTTGTATATAATTGAAAGTGTGGTGAATACCACTGATGTGTTTCTGATCTCTCAAAGCACATCTCTTCATATTCAAAACTATGTAAGCAAGTGAAGTGCCTAGAAACCTCCTAACATGCTCTGATACTTTCTTAGTCACAAGAAATCATGTAAACATGAGGAAAAACAACATTCCCAGACAAATCATCATTCCAAAGACCAGAACAGAACAGCATGTGCTGAATATATAAGTGGTTCATACACAGCTTAAAATATCAATCCATAAGTCCTATAGTCAGCTGTGACAGACAGCATTGGACATTTTCTCTTAGAGCAGGATTTTGTCAAACTCAGCACATTTGGATAATTCTTTATTGTGGAGAACTAATGTGTGCGTTGGAGGATGTTTAACATCTTTGACCTCTACCCACGAGGTGTCTGCAGTAGCGCACTAATTTTAACAATCCAAAATAAATAAATTTTTAAAAAATCTCCAGACATTGCCACAAATGTCCTGGGGGTCAAAATCACCCCCAGTTAAGATCCACTGTCTTCAAGCATTTGTCATTTTAGTGATTCCATTAACATTCCCATTACAGACCCCATATTATCTTAAAATGCCATGTTACACCAAGAAACATAGAGTGGGGAAATGGGGAAAAGCAGTGATTCTGTTCTTATATTTTGAAGACTTTTTATCAAAATGATCCCCTCCTTGATTTTTAATTTTTTATAGCCTTAACCGTTTAAGGGTGATATTGTTTCACCCCTGCATAAGATACAGTTCTGTTTAAGAAGAGTGTTTAGATTTCACAGCAAAGCCAAGCCACTGAAAACAATAAATTGTGGCAGAACATCAGCTACCTTATATCTGCAAGTGCACTGTTTATAATAGATGGACTGCTTAGAATGAAATTTTACAGTAATATTCTTTGTAATTAAGTAAAGTTCAATTACTTCTTTATAAAATATTTTAATACAACTTTACAGTTGTCTGAAATAACAAAATCCTGGTGATTAGCTTTACCTAGACCTTAAAAAATATTTTTAAATTTTATCTTCTGTTCCAAACTTTGGCATCTCACCAAATTTCAGAAAACCTTTAAAATTGTATTTAAGTTTTCATATTCATGGTCCACAGCATTTTTTTCTTCTTTTGTATTAATTTTCTCTCTTTCTCCTTCCACATGCATGTACTGCACACACACGGATACATGAGCGTACACACACACACACACACACACACACATTCGTAAATTTTTGAAGCATCAAATTTTAAAAGCAGCAAAACCACTATTGCTTGCTAGACAAAGAACGAGCTGGAGCATTTGTCCATAAGAAGGGGAAATAAAAGGAGCTTATGTTCTAGAGCTTGCATGTATGTGTGTTTGTGTGCTGTATACATATGATGAATATTCAAATAAATATTACTCTCAGATATTGAGAATGAAATAGACAATAAAACTGGTGATTTAACAGGAGTGGGGTGTGTGCTGTTGAATGGACAAAGTCGAAAATCACTAAGATAGAACCTTAGTGGAAGGGATAGAGGATAACTCAGAAAATTATCCTTAAATATTTCTCCAAAACAGGCCAGCAAAAGCAAAACTTTTGAGACCAAAATCATTTAGTTATTCACCAGCAAACATTTATTTTGAAGAATCTCCCATGTGCCAAGAAGAGTGGAAACTCTGGAGCTACAAAGATAATTAAGACGTAACCCATGAGAAAAGAAAACAAGTAATTGTAGCATGAACTTACAATGTTAGACATATATTAAGTATGTATGCTTGGAGTGACTCACTCTGCCTTTAAGATTTCTCAGAGGACATTGATGCCTTAGCTTGGTTTTGAAGGGTACATAGGAGTTCATTAAGCAAACAAGGTGGGAAGGTAGGGAGCAGGGAATTTCAGGTGTGTGTGGTGGGGGGAATAGCTTGTACAAAACCACAGAGAGTAAGAAACATGATTCTGGACTCAGCACAGCTGGAGCATAAAGCAAGTAGAGGAGACAGTGGTGAGAGATGAGGCCAAAGGACTAGGCACATGTGGAGAGACCAAATAAACTGATCTTTGGACATTAGATCAAAGATTAATTAGTAGTAATCATAATCACTAGGTGGTTTCAATATAAGTGGGAGGGCAACAAAAAATACAAGGAGCTCATAAACTTCCATGTAGTAATATTCAGTGGTTCCTCGGTATTCATGGGGAATTGGCCCCCCACTGATAACAAAACCCAAGGATGCTCAGGTCCCTTATATAAAATGGTATAGTACCATTTTATATGGTATAGTCAGCCCTCTGTATCTGTGGGTTCCACATCTATGGATATGGAGGACTGACTGTATCCAGAAATGATCTATGTTATATGAGGTCATCTGACCCTAAAGAAACAGCGAATTCCTGATACAGTTTAAATATATATAGGAAGCCTGTCATCTTTGGTGATATGCAAAGAACATGTGCATTATTCCCATAAGTAAGTTCCTGCTGCTTTTTACAGCCACTATAATAACACAGGCATACCTCAGACTGTGGGTTCAGTTCCAGAGCACCACAATAAAGTAAATACCGTAATAAAGCAAGTCACGTGAATTTTTTGGTTTCCCAGTGCATATAGAAATTATGTTTACACTGTACTTTAGTCTGTTATGTGTGCAATAGCATTATGTCTAAAAATATAATGTACATGCCTTAATAAAAAATATTTTATTGCTACCCTCTTGCACTGTTGGTGAGAATGTAAATTGATACAGCCACTATGGAGAACAGTATGGAGGGTCCTTAAAAAACTAAAAATAGAATTACCATATGACCCAGCAATCCCACTACTGGGCATATACCCAGAGAAAACCATAATTCAAAAAGACACATGCACCCCAATGTTCACTGCAGCACTATTTACAGTAGCCAGGACATGGAAGCAATCTAAGTGTCCATCAACAGACGAATGGGTAAAGAAGATGTGGCACATATATACAATGGACTATTACTCAGCCATAAAAAGGAATGAAATTGGGTCATTTGTAGAGACGTGGATGAATCTAGAGACTGTCATACAGAGTGAAGTAAGTCAGAAAGAGAAAAACAAATATCGTATATTAACGCATATATGTGGAACCTAGAAAATGGTACAGATGAACTGGTTTGCAGGGCAGAAATAGAGACACAGATGTAGAGAACAAACGTATGGGCACCAAGGGGGGAAAGTGGTGGGGGTGGTGGTGGGATGAATTGGGAGATTGGGATTGACACGTATACACTAGTATGTATAAAATAGATAACTAATAACCTGCTGTATAAAAAAATAAAATTCAAAAAGTAAATAAAAATACTTTATTGCTGAAAACTGCTGACCATCATCTGAGCCTTCAGCAAGTCCTAGTCTTTTTGCTGGTGCAGACTCTTGCCTCGATGTAGGTGGTGCTGACTGAGCAGGGTGGTGGCTGCTGAAGGCTGGGGTGGCAATTCCTTAAAATACGGCAACCATGAAGTCTGACCCACAGATTGACCTTTCACATTTTCTCTGTAGCAGGCAATGCTGTTGGATAGCATTTTACCCACAGCAGAACGTCTTTCAAAATTGGAGTCAATCCTCTCAAACTCCGCTGCTACTTTATAAACTAAGTTTATATAATTTTCTAAATCCTTTTTTGTCATCTCAACAGTCTTCACAGCATCTTCACCAAGAGTAGATCCCATCTCAAGAAACCACTTTCTTTGCTCATCCATAAGAAGCAACTCCTCACCTGTGAAAGCTTTATCGTGAGGTTGCAGCAATTCAGTCACATCTTTAGGCTCCACTTCTAATTCTAGTTCTCTTGTTGTTTCTGCCACATCTGCAGTTACTTCCTCCACTGAAGTTTTGAACCCCTCAAAGTCATCTATGAGAGTTGGAATCAGCTTCCTCCAAACTCCTGTTAATGTTGTTATTTTGACATCCTCCCATGAATCATGAATGTTCTTACATCTAGAATAGTGAATACTTTCCAGGATGTTTTCAATTTACTTTGCCCAGATCCATCAGATGAATCACTATTTATGGCCTTACAAAATGTATTTCTTAAGTAAGACTTAAAGTCAAAATTACTGCTTGATCCATGGGCTGCAGAATGGATATTGTGTTAGCAGCATAAAAATAGCATTTTAATCTCATTGTGCATCTCCATGAGAACTCTTGAGGTGCATTGCCAATGAGCAGTAATATTTTGAAAAGAATCTTTTTTTCTGAGCAGTAGGTCTCAACAATAGTCTTAAAATATTCAGTGAACCATGTTGTAAACAGATGTGCTATCATCCAGGCTTTGTTGTTCTATTTATAGAGCACAAGCAGAGTAGATTTAGCATAATTCTTAAGGGTCCTAGGATTTTTGGAATGGTAAATGAGGTCAGCTTCAACCTAATGTCACCACCTGTATTAGACCCTAACTGACAAAAGAGATTTCAGCCTATTCTTTGAAGCTTTGAAGCCAGGCATTGACTTCTCCTCTTTAGCTATGAAAGTCCTAAATGGCATCTTCTTCCAATATAAGGCAGTTTCATCTACATTGAAAATCTGTTGTTTAATGTAGCCACCTTCTTTAATTATCTTAACTAGATCTTCTGGATAACTTACTATAGCTTCTACATCAGTACTTGCTGCTTCACCTTGCACTCTTATGTTACAGAGACAGGTTCTTTCCTTAAACATCATGAACCCACCTCTGCTAGCTTCAAATTTCTTCTGCAGCTTCCTCACCTCTCCCAGCTTTCACAGAATTGAAGAAAGTTAGGGCCCTGCTCTGGATTAGACTTTGGCTTAAGGGAATGTTGTGGCTGGTTTGATCTTCTATCCAGACCACTACAACTTTCTCAGTATCAGCAATAAGACTTTTGTTTTCATATCATTCATATGTTCACTGGAGTAGCACTTTTAATTTCCTTTAAGAAGTTTTCCTTTGCATTCTCAATTTGGTACCACATCCACCTACCTTGAGTTCTAGCCAAGGGTATATCAGCAGCCTCATTCCTACCATCTACTGGTGAAAATAAGGTCAATTGCTAACCTATCTTCTGATCAGGTAGTGTGTGGGTAGAATCTCTGAACAACTATGTATCTCTCATCCAATCATACGACCCATTCCCCATGAAGTTGAAGTCTGGTCCACCTTTGTGTACCTGGACCCCCTTATATAGATCTATAAAAAGATGATTTTAATAAATAAATGGAAGAGAAGAGAAAAATCTTCCATGGAAAAGAATTCTAAATAATTTATTTGGATATTGCACCCTCACTCCTTAAGTGTGGGCTGCAAGTTGTGACTTTCTTCCAAAGCATACAACGTGGAAAGGGGAAAAGGAGGAACATTACAGTGAAGAAACCTGACAAATACTATCTCAGCCAAGTACTCAAGGTCAATATCTACAGTGATAAATCATATGGATAGTATGTACCCTTCATATGATGTGAGGAATATCATACTTAATTCTGTAGTCTTCCTCTCAAAGCCCATAGCCCCAGTCTAATTATGAGGAAAACATCTGACAAATCCCAGTGAAGGAACATCCTACACAATGCTTGACTGGTACTCCTCAATACTGTCAAGGTCATCAAAACCAAGGCAAGTCTTGTGAGTCAACTATACTCCAATAAAAAGAAAAAAGAAAAAAAATAAAAGGCGAGTCTGAAAAACTGTCACAACCAATAGGACTAGATACAATGTAATAAACTGGATGGGATCCTGGAACTGAAAAAGGACATTAGGTAAAAAGTGAGAAAATCCGAATGAAATGTAAACTTTAGCTAATAGTAATATATCATTATTGGTTCATTTACTATAACAAATAACTGTATTGTAAAGTGTTAATAATAGGGGAAACTGGATATAGGGTATATCTAAACTCTGTTATCTTCAAAATATCTTTAAATCTGAAACTTCTAAATTATGTTTATTTTTTAAAAATAATGTGAGCAAAGCTAATGTTTATTGAACCTTTGCTTTGTGCCAAACATTGTGCTAAAAGCTTTGTTTATGTTATCTCACTGAATGCTAAGGATGACTTTATGAAATGAATAGTTATCCTCATTTTATAGGTAAGGAAATTGAGACATAGGTTAAGTGGATTTCTTAAAGCTCAAATCTAGGAAATTGGGGAGGAAGGATTCCAATGCAGTCTGTCTAACTGTAGAGCCAATGCTCCTTTTTGTCATATCCATATAACTTATTAACAGACATTGAGCTCAAGAAGAATGCTTAGCATTTTTCTACAACTAGTATTCATCAGACAAATAAGCCTACAAGGAAGAATAAAGAGAAAACTCTGTGCTTGCCAGCAGACAAAATAAATGTACTTCTAAAGCAGATTGAAGAATTGAGGTTTGAAATAAAGGCAGAAGAAACTCAAGGAATGATGAATCTACTGAAGCATTTAAAGAAGAGATGCTTATATCCAGAACTTTGATTTTTGAAACTTTTGCAGACAGGATGAAGTTGATCAAGCATTTGAAGTGTGTTGAATCATAGGACATATGCTAACACAGGGGTCCCCAACCCTCGGGCTGAGGACCGGTATAGGTCTGTAGCCTGTTAGGAACTGGGCCGCACAGCAGGAGGTGAGTGGCGGACGAGCGAGCGAAGCTTCATCTGCCACTCCCCATCGCTCCCCATCACTCACATTACCACCTAACCCATCGCTCCCATTACCGCCTGAACCATCCACCCCCCCCACCAACCCCCCTCCACATCCGTGGAAAAATTGCCTTCCCTGAAACCGGTCCCTGGTGCCAAAAATGTTGGGGACCGCAGATCTAACACATAAGCTGTATTGGAGTTAAAATGTCAAAAAAATTGTAAGAAAAGTAAGGGAGAAAACCTAAAGCTCCTCAATATGACTGCTCCTTCACTGTCTCTCACCCAGTTTCTCTTTAGGACTGGATATCTCCCTGAACCTAAATGACAGCTCACTGAGCTAAGGCCCTGTTATACAGCTCAACTAATATTAATCCCTTTTTCTCGAGTCTAGGAGATGGGCAGCAGGGAGCAATGGAATTCATGACCAAAACTCCCAACTGCCATTCAATGTGCACTTCATCTTGTAAGTTTCCATGTATGTCCTTGCCTAAGTATGATCTACACTCAGGCACTTCCTCAATTCTGATGCCTCCTTTATCTCTAGGATGCTTGCCCTATCTTGGCTCTTACTGGATTTAACACCCAATAATGTCATCTGTAAAATAAGACCATGAATATACATATGTTACAAATTGATATTAGAATTAAAAAACAGTGTCTTCATAAAACTTCCATAGATTCTCTGATCTAATCTTATGAGATACATATTAATATAATTATATCCACCAAACTTTTGGTGTAAGAACAAGGCCATTTATTTTGTTTTGTTTTTTGCACACAGCTTTGCATATAGTTTTACTAGTTGGATTTCTACCTTAACGTCTGTCCATCAAACATACCTGTAATGCATAGTTTACAGTATCCAGCTTTGGATTACTCAAAGTAAAGCAAAAGACTTCCACTTTTTTTTTTTAATAGAAAAGTAAAGGTGATGTTCTCACCTTTTCTCTTCAAAATTACACAAAAGCAACAAATAAAAAGAGAAATAGAAACACAAACTCCTTTTTGACAAAATCAAAAAGCATATTAAATCTCAAACCAT